CCGCCCCCCCCTTTTGGCCGAACATTTGTCCCGTCCCCTGTATTGCCCGCCCCCCCCCCCCCCGCCCCCCCTCCCCCGGTACCGCAGATGGGCGCCCTGGGCGACCTCGGCTACGACCACCAGGCGCTGCTGGATGCGCTCACGGACCGGGTGGTACCGCAGCGGCTGGCTGAGTTCTCGCTGGACCATCTGTCAGACCTGGTGGAAAACCTGAACAAGCTGGGGTGAGGGCGAGGCAGGGACGAGGCGGTACAATGCTGGGGGAGGGAGGTTCCAGCCGTCTGGGCGCATCTGGGCGGCGCGCCGGCGGGTGCTGGCGTGCCGACCGCGTGTACCGCGTGTACCGCCGCAGGTACTACAACAAGACCTTCATGGCGCTGCTCAAGAAGGCGACGGAGGATCGCAAGGGGCGGGAACACGCAGAGGCGGTGGTGGCGTGAGCCTGAGGCCCCTCCCCGCCCCAGCCGCCGGAGAAGGGCATGCCCAACGCACGCCCCACACCCATCCAACACACCAGCCAACGAATGAGCGCCAGCGGCACGACAGTCAGGGCCGCGGCCCGCTGATACCTCGCCACCCTGCTCGATTCCCGCCTCGCTGCAAGCTGCACAAGCCAGCTCAGATGCCTGCACCTGCTGCTGTGGAGAGGAGGACAGCCCCTAGTGCCTCCCTTGTTGCCGCTTCCTTGTTGCCGTGCTGTGTGCATTTCAGTGATTTAAGGTCCCCCCCCCCCCCCCCCCCCTCTTTGGCCGCCCCTCCTTCTCTGCTGTTGGCATTTTTAGGGAGACCTGTGTTGCCCAACTGCTTGCTCGCGTGGGCGCCGCCGTTCCTCACTGCGCTCCTGCTTTTGCTCCTCGGTACGGCATGCTCGAGGCTTTACTGCATGTAAATCAATGATATCGCCAGGCAGCGAGGTGGCAACCGCGCATCACTCGCTGTCGCTGCCCGAGCCGCTGCTGCCGCTGCTCCCGCCGCTGCTGCCGCTGCCGTGCCGGTGCTTGCTGCCGCGGCCCTTGCGCTGCTTGCTGCTCCTCGCCCTCTCCTTGCCCTTGCTCTTCGATTTCTTCTCCTTCCGCTCCTTCTCCTTCTCTTTCTTCTTCTTGTTCTTCTTGCTGCAGGTACGACGCAAGACAGGCTGCATTGAGCAGGGCATCGCTGGCGCAGCAGCATGGCGTGGGCTTGTACGTGGACACAGTGTGCGCTGGCGCTGGCCCTGGGCAGCCAGCCAGACGTGCCTGCCCCGCCTCTCTTTCTTGTCCTTCCTCAGCGCCCGCAAAGCCTCCTGCACCCGCTGCTTGGTCGCGTCGTCGAGCGCCCCCGCCGCAGCAGCAGCCGCGGCCACGCTGGCGGGCGGCAGCGCCTGCGCACGCGCTGCCGGTCCTGGCAGCGGCGGCGGCGGCGGCCCGGCGGCAGGCTGCTGCCGCAGCTTGGCAAAGCCAAACGAGGCGTCCTGCAAAGGCCACTGCTGCTGCTGCTGCTGCTGCTGTGCCTGCTGTGCGGGCCTGCTGTGGTCATCCACCAAAGCCAGGCCGCCCTGCTGGCGCTGCGCATGGCCCCCCGCAGCCGCCGCTGCCGCTGCCGCTGCGCCCGGCTGCTGCTCAAGCTGCTGCTCCGGCTGCTGCTGGTGCGCCGTGATGTCTGCTGCCTGCACCCAGGCAGCAGGCACGCCGCCCTGCTCGGCACGCCTAGGCAACTGACAGGCAAAAAACGACCCGTCTGGGCGTAGGCAGGGAGCTGGCAGCAGCACGAGAGGTGACGCAACAGGCAGTGGGACCAGCACAGGCGTGGAAGCAGCGCACCTCCTCCTCCTCCTCCTCCTCCTCCTCAGAATCCTCGAAGATCGCCTTGAAGAGGTCTACAGGCCGCTCAGCCGCCGCCGCCGCCGCCTCCGCCGCCTCCTCCTCCTGCTGCTCCTGGGCGTCCAGAGGAGGCTGCGGCCCCGGCGGCAGCGGCGGCGCCGCCTCGGGCGCCGCCTCGCCGCCGCCACCCAGCATGCCTGACAGCGAGCTCAGGAAGGCGTCTGCCGCGCCTGCCGCATCCGGCTGCTGCGGCACAGCCGGCGGCTGCGGTGCGCCCGGCCCAGCCGCCGCCGCCGCCGCCGCCGCCGCGGCGGCGCCGCCGCCTGGCGCCTGCAGCAGCTGCAGCTGCTGCT